ATATCACTAAAGGCATGCTGGGATTGATTTTGGGGGTAATTGCCTCCAAATTTTAGGAATTAGGGGCCAAAAAAGGGGCAAAAAACCAGCATTTTTCTAGTTTCATGACAATAACTTGTGTGTAAGCGTATGGATCTTTCTGAAATTGTACTACAAGGTTCCATATCATAAAGGGAAAGCTGGGTTTGAGTTTGGGGGTAATTGCCCTAAACATTTAGGAATTTGGGGCCAAAAAGGGCCAAAAAACACATTTTTTTCTAGTTTCCAGACAATAACTTGTGTTCAAGTGTATGGATCTCTCTGAAATTGTACTGCAAGGTACCATACCACAAAGGGAAGGCTGGGATTGAGTTTGGGGGTGATGAATCATAATGGGGGTTCAAAAAATTTTGGGGGGGGATTTATTTTTTTTTCCTTTTTTTTCTTTTTTTCCTTTTTTGTTTCTTTTAAAATTTTCCATTTTAAGTTGGTTATTTCTGATTTATATTTAAAATCAAATAATAATGATATGGTAGGAGATACACACCAAACAGGATGTGTAAATTATTATATAATAAGTATTGTGCAATAGCAAGAAATTTTCAATTGCACAGTATTGCACAATAGCAAGAAATCTTCAATTGCACAGTATTGCGCAATAGCAAGAAATCTTCAATTGCACAGTATTGCGCAATAGCAAGAAATATCCAATAGCACAATATTGCGCAATAGCAAGAAATTGTCAATTGTACAGTATTGTGCAATAGCAAGAAATATTTAATAGCACAGGATTGTGCAAAAGAAGATACTTCCTATAAATTGCTTATTTCTTGACCAATTTCAATGGGGTTTTATTCTTGATTTCATGGGGTTCTTTAATATGCTGAATCTAACCGTGTATTTAGTTTTTGGATTTTGGGCCCCGTTTTTAAATTGGTCCACATTGAGGTCCAAAGGGTCCAAAATTAAACTTTGTTTGATTTCATCAAAAATTGAATTATTGGGGTTCTTTGATATGCCGAATCTTAAACTGTGTATTTAGATTCTTAAATTTTGGTTCCGTTTTCAAATTGGTCTACATTAAGGTCCAAAGGGTCCAAAATTAAACTTAGTTTGATTTTAACAAAAATTGAATTCTTAGGGTTCTTTGATATGCTGAATCTAAACATGTATTTAGATTTTTGATTATGGGCCCAGTTTTCAAGTTGGTCCAAATCGGGGTCCAAAATTAAACTTTGTTTGATTTCAACAAAAATTGAATATATGGGGTTCTTTGATATGCTGAATCTAACCATGTATTTAGATTTTTGATTTTTGGGCCCCGTTATCAACTTTGTCCACATTGAGGTCAAAAGGGTCCAAAATTAAATTTTGTTTGATTTCATCAAAAATTGAATTATTGGGGTTCTTTCATATGCCGAATCTTAAACTGTGTATTTAGATTCTTAAATTTTGGTTCCGTTTTCAAATTGGTCTACATTAAGGTCCAAAGGGTCCAAAATTAAACTTAGTTTGATTTTAACAAAAATTGAATTCTTAGGGTTCTTTGATATGCTGAATCTAAACATGTATTTAGATTTTTGATTATGGGCCCAGTTTTCAAGTTGGTCCAAATCGGGGTCCAAAATTAAACTTTGTTTGATTTCAACAAAAATTGAATATATGGGGTTCTTTGATATGCTGAATCTAACCATGTATTTAGATTTTTGATTTTTGGGCCCCGTTATCAACTTTGTCCACATTGAGGTCAAAAGGGTCCAAAATTAAATTTTGTTTGATTTCATCAAAAATTGAATTATTGGGGTTCTTTGATATGCCGAATCTAACCATGTATTTAGATTCTTAATTTTTGGTTCCGTTTTCAAATTGGTCTACATTAAGGTCCAAAGGGTCCAAAATTAAACTTAGTTTGATTTTAACAAAAATTGAATTCTTAGGGTTCTTTGATATGCTGAATCTAAACATGTATTTAGATTTTTGATTATGGGCCCAGTTTTCAAGTTGGTCCAAATCGGGGTCCAAAATTAAACTTTGTTTGATTTCAACAAAAATTGAATATATGGGGTTCTTTGATATGCTGAATCTAACCATGTATTTAGATTTTTGATTTTTGGGCCCCGTTATCAACTTTGTCCACATTGAGGTCAAAAGGGTCCAAAATTAAACTTTGTTTGATTTCATCAAAAATTGAATTCTTGGGGTTCTTTGATATGCTGAATCTAACCATGTATTTAGATTTTGGATATTGGACCATAATAGGTGAATGTCCAATTTAAAATTTTTAAGTTCTTAGACCACATTCAATCTGTGTTAGAAACCTATGCTGTGTCAAATATTTAATCACAATCCAAATCCAAAGCTGTATCAAGCTTGAATGTTGTGTCCATACTTCCCCCAACTGTTCAGGGTTCGACCTCTGCGGTCGTATCAAGCTGCGCCCTGCGGAGCATTTTATTCTAGTTTCATGACAATAACTTGTGTGTAAGTGTATGGATCTCTCTGACATTGTACCACAAGGTTCCATATTACAAAGGGAATGCTGGGATTGATTTTGGGGGTAATTGCCTCCAAATTTTAGTATTGGGGGCCAAAAAGGGGCAAAAAACAAGCATTTTTCTAGTTTCATGACAATAACTTGTTTGTAAGTGTATGGATCTTTATGAAATTGTACTACAAGGTTCCATATTACAAAGGGAAAGCTGGAATTGATTTTGGGGGTAATTGCCCAAAATGTTTAGGAAAAAGGGGCCAAAAAGAGGCCAAAAATAAGCATTTTTGTCGAGCCTGCTACTATTGTCGCAGAAAGCTCGACATAAAGATAGTGATCCTGCGGCGGCGGTGGCTGCGGCGGCGTTAGCTAACTTCTTAAAAGCTTTATATTTTAGAAGGTGGAAGACCTGGATGCTTCATACTTTGTATATGGATGCCTCATGTTACGAAGTTTCTGTCAGTCACATGTCCAATGTCCTTGACCTCATTTTCATGGTTCAGTGACTACTTGAAAAAAAAGTTCAGATTTTTTGTAATGTTAAATTCTCTCTTATTATAAGAAGTAGGATAACTATATTTGGTATGTGCCTACCTTGCAAGGTCCTCGTGCCCGTCAGACAGTTTTCACTTGACCTCAACCTCATTTCATGGATCAGTGAACAAGGTTAAGTTTTGGTGGTCAAGTCCATATCTCAGATACTCTATCCAGGGGATGCTAATTTTATATCAAGCAGAGTGTTCACTCTCCTTCTCATATAACCTCCTTGGGACAAATAAGAAAACATTATTTTGAAAATTATTTGAGAGATCTATACTTCTTTTCAATGCTTAAATTGAAATTTATGAGGCATGTATTGGACTTATGTAATTTCAGCACATGAGTGATTATGCTAAATCTGGCTAAATCAAAATTAGCTAGAAAAATGGAATAACACTTTTAAACACATAAATAATTATTGGATGATGAAACTGAGAAACATATTAATGATAACAAAGATGAGGAAAGGAAAAAAAATCACATACAAATAGTATAAAGCTTGGTGTTGACAATTATTTCACATGTTAACAATACAGAGAGAATACATTAATAGTAATTCTGTTATCTTAAAAAAAGGGGAAATATGTAGCTTTATCATCAAAATGAACACTGAAAACACGATAAATATGTTGATAAAAAATCTCCAGTTACGAGGCCCAAACTCAAGCTGAAAATTTTCAAATCTCCAGTTGTGACTTGACAACTCTGTCACATGTATGCACATCTACAACCTATTTGAAATAATACACATCTACCATTACAAACTTTCCACAGGTGCTATCCAGCACTTTAATTATATTGATCCATGGACACTATACAACACTTTAAATGTTAACAATCTCTACAATTCTCAACACCTGGAGTGATCATATGCCCAACACAATTTGAAGCAGTACCTCTTCAGAACTAAAGTAAGCCACTTGAATGGGTATGGAATGACCAGTGAGGCATTGTCCATTTGGGAAATAGGACCTACATTTTATTATCTACTATTACTATCTTTATCACAATACCACTAGGAATCTCCCAAGAGAATAACTGAACACAGATGTGAGTGAAATAGCTACCAACGGTACCCAACCATATCGTAAACAGTTATAATTCAAGAAAACAGAATCTTTTCTATAAATGACTTTTTTTTTCCGTTCACTGTACTTTCAATTTAACAATAACACTGTCATGACTGCTGTCATTTTCACAACACTTGTGGCGAACTACATAACCAGCCTGTTTTGTACCTCAATGTTTTATATCATACTTATACTTGTCCTTAAAACGTCACACATGCTTCTGAACATGTACACCAATTAAATAAGTACTTTGCAGTAATTAGGGCCCCGCCGAATGGCGGATGCCCTATAGTGATCAGTCCGTCCGTCCGTCCGTCCGTCTGTCTGTCTGTCTGTCCGAACATCTGTCCGTCCGTTCGTCCGTCCGTCCGTCTGTCCGTAACAAATTGTGTCTGCTCTATATCTAGAGAACTGTTATGATTTCAAAGTTTATATTTGACATGTATATTAACCAACACCAGAGGGTGTGTCATAATGTATGTACAACTTCCTAAGTCAAAGGTCAAGTTCAAAAACTTTGGTTTTAGTTGACAACCCCATGTCCTATGGTAAAGATCGTGTCCACTCTATATCTTGAGAACCATTATGATTTCAAAGTTTATACTTGATATGTATATAAACCAACACCAGAGGGTGTGTCATAATTTATGTACAACTTCCTAGGTCAAAGGTCAAGGTCAAAAACTTTGGTTTCAGTTGACAACCCCATGTCCAATGATAAGGATACCAATTTTTTACCACACCTTATTCACAGAGGGGCCCACAGAGATGGCTCCCATCTCAATGATATCTAGTTAAAGAGTGTTGTCGTCTTTAATGTCGATTAAGTTTCAGTGGTACAATTTAAATTCTTAGATAACAAATACTCCATGCTGCTTATGTATTCTTTGAAAGTAATCATTTGGAAAGATTTTTTGTTTCAGTGTACTCCAAATGAATTGACAAATGGTGTAATGAATGCTTGTTTCCTGTTGCTATTCAAAGATCTGATCAGACTATTTGCATGTTACAATGATGGTGTAATCAACCTTCTTGGTAAGTATACTTTTACAAAGCATGGGTTAAATTTTCCAAAAAATATTTTCCTCTGAAACCACTGTACAAATTTCAACCAAACTTGAACTGAATGATCCTTACTGTATCTAGTATATAGTGTGTGATTTTGTTCTTACCAATCAATTGATATGGCTGCAGTGTTCTTCCCAGGATTTTTAGATAGCACCAGGGTAATCAAGGCGATAAATTAGATATATGCATCGAACATAATTTGCATCGCGTTGCAACTCTTTTCCTCTATCCTCTTTAAGGTTAGTTCCCATAGGGTTCTTTCTTTTTTTTATTACCTTTTATCTCTTTGAGTTTTTCTTTTTTTATGCCCCACCTACGATAGTAGAAGGGGCATTATGTTTTCTGGTCTGTGCGTCCGTTTGTTCGTCTGTCCGTTCGTCTGTCTGTCTGTCTGTCCCGCTTCAGGTTAAAGTTTTTGGTCAAGGTAATTTTTTTATGAAGTTGAAGTCCAATCAACTTGAAACTTAGTACACATGTTCCCTATGATATGATCTTTCTAATTTTAATGTCAAATTAGAGTTTTGACCCGAATTTCACGGTCCACTGAACATAGAAAATGATAGTGCGAGTGGGCATCTGTGTACTATGGACACATTCTTGTTTTGTACTGTGTTTTGTTGACATTATTGCAGTGAAAGAAATTATATTCTCCATTCAGACATAGGCACCAAGAGAATTATCAATTATTATAACTACATTTATTTGTAATACTAGGGTGGTTTATATCGATTTTGACTGGCTGTAAAGACCTGTTATTATTATTATTATTGATGTTTTGGGAGGCGGCTTTCCTGATATGGAACTTGCGCTCTAAAAGACCTGTTAAAGTTAGTACAATGTCTATGTAATAGTACTGGTTTGATTTCATTGGGAGCATTGAAGATATTACCTCTCATTTACAATGTATATTTTCTGTATGTATACAGAATTTTTATTTTTAACTGGATTTTCACAGGAAATATTGGTTATTAAAATGGGGATGTACGGCGGGCGGCTGGGCGGGCTGACGGGTGGCTGCCAAACAGTGTCAGCACAATAACATGAAAAGGCTTTAACAAATTTTTTTCAAATTTAAATATGTTGTTTCCTGGGACTTAATGAAGGTCTAGTTCAATATTCAAGATTTTAGTATTTCTCTTTTTTGAGTTATCACCATTTTTAATATCCAAAAGTGGAATTTCTAAAAATTTTACTCTTGTTATCATGTTATGATTTGTCTTATCTCACAATAAAAATTGGAGTGACAGATTTATTTGAAAATTATCTATTTCCTAAGTGGTAATGATTATAAGCTATATCATTAGACATTTTGAAGATTATAACATTATTAATTATTATATATGTAATGTTAGAGTACTATGTTAAACTATAGTTCTGTTCAATTAGATCTGGGAAATATTTTAGCATATGATAATGATTTATTTTTATTATTAATTAGATCTTGGAAATACTTTAGCATATGATAATCATTGGAGTGACAGATTTATTTGAAAATTATCTGTTTTCTGATAATAAGATCTGTAGGACTGTATATATAAAGGTTGAAACTTACTAGTAGGACTGTATAAATGAAGTTTGAAATTTACTTTTCATTATTAAAAAATTTGTAGATAATTAAGTGTCCCTAAAACATATATATTCTTACCTCTACCCCCCTTCAATTTGAAAATGTGCTTTTATCTTGTAAACGGTCGAGATCCCCACCCCTAAACCATATATATTCTTGTATGGGGCAATAAAACAAATCAAATGAAATATTGGGATAGTCCTTGGGTTCACACCTACCCTCCTTTTTTTTGAAAACTTGTAAATGTGCAAGCTCCCCACCCTGAAACCATATATATTCTTGTATGTTACAATAAAACAAATCAAATGAAATAAAAGGTGAGTCCCTTGGGGTCACCCCCACCCCATTTTGTTTGAGAACTTGTAAACGGTCGAGATCCCCACCCCTAAACCATATATATTCTTGTATGGGACAAACAAATCAAATCGAAATATAAGGGAAGTCCATTGGGGTAACCCCCACCCCCTTCTGTTTGAGAAATTGTAAACGGTTGAGATCCCCACCCCTAAACCATACATATTCTTGTATGGGACAATAAAACAAATCAAATGAAATTTAGGGGAAGTCCACGAGGGTAAACCCCACCCTCTTTTTTTTGAAAACTTGTAAACGGTTAAGATCCCCACCCCTAAACCATATATAATCTTTTATGGGACAATAAAACAAATCAAATCGAAATAAAAGGTGAGTCCCCTGGGGTAACCCCCACCCCCTTTTTTTTGAAAACATGTAAACAGTCAAGATCTCCACTCTGAAACCATTTTTCTTCTTGTATATTACAATAAAACAAATCAAATGAAATAAAAGTCGAGTCTCCTTGGGTCTTTTTTGTGATGGAGTTATTTTCCTTTGAACAGAAATTGTTAATTATATACATAAAGTTTGATTACACTAAGCCTTTATAGATAATTTTCACCTGTTTATATGTCCTGTAATCAGTTTACTAAACATATGGTTAATGTCTTATCTTGAGTGACAGATTTATTTGAAAATTTTCTGTTTTCTAAGTGTTGATGATTAAAAGCTATATAGTAGTAAATATAGTTACTGTTCATTATTAGACATTTTGAAGATAATTACAGATAAGTTTTATAGATTTTTAAAAGACATTGTATTAATGATAAATAAAATTTTTGATTTTTTTTTCTTTACTTTGGTAAATTGTAAATTGTTTGTTATTCTGTAAAAACTAATTTTCTGAATGCTATGTATTTTTTTTTATTAGGTGAACTCCTTTTAAAACTTAGCTTATATTGTCTATTAATAAACATATATTTAGATTTCTGATTTTGTGCCCAGTTTCAAGTTGGTCCAAATCAGAGTCCAAAATTAAACTGTGTTTGATTTCAACATAAATTGAATATATATAGGGTTCTTTGAAATGCTGAATCTAACCCTGTTTTTATTTTCATTATTAGTTAGATAATACCACATCGAGGTACTAAGGGTCCTAAATTAAACTTTTGTTTAATCAACCATTGAATTCTTGGGTTCTTTGATATGCTGATTTGAACAATGTTTGAGTGTTAAATCATATCTAATTTAAGAGAACTTAGTCATCACTGGTTGTTGTTATTATATTATTGATTATAATTTGAAAAATGGCATCATATCTAATTTTATAGAACTTAGTCATCACTTTATTCATTATAATCATATCTATTTATCAAGTTTGAGTTATTTCCCTTTGCACAGAAAATATATGGATAAAATTAAATTGTGTTTCATTTCAACTTAAATTAAATATATATAGGGTTCTTTCAAATGCTGATTCTAAACCTGTTTTTAAATATTAGATTTTTGGGCCCAGTTTTCAAGTTGGTCCAAATCAGGGTCCAAAATTAAACTTTGTTTGATTCACAAAAATTGAATTTATGTGGTTCCTTGAAATGCTGAATCTTACCATGTATTGAGAGATTTTGGATTGTGAGCTCCTTTATCAAATTGGTCCACATTGTAGTCCAAAGGGTCCTAAATTAAACTTTTGTTTGATTTCATTAAAAAATGAATTTTTGGAGTTCTTTGATATGCTGATTCTGACAATGTACTTAGATTTTGGATATTGGGCCATAGTAGGTAATTAAATAAATGTCCAATTTCAAATATTTCAGTTCTTTGACCACTTTCAATTTGTGTCACAAACCTCTGCTGTGTCAAATATTCAAACACAATCCAAATTCAGAGCAGTTTTAAGCTTAAATGAAGTGTCCATACTTGCTCAACTGTTCAGGGTTTGACCTCTGCAGGAAAATCTGGTTTGGAGTCACTTTGACAGCCTCTTGTTATTAAATTACATCCCATTTTAATAGTTAGCAATTATTTGTTTACTTATAAATATTCCTATGAGTATACACATTTTTAACAGGAGGATTTCAAAATAGCCAAAAATAGGGGGAGTAACTCTTTATGGATTTAATATGAAAATGTTGTTTTTGCAGTTTCAAAAATACTCATCATACATTTGGGTGAAATGACAGAAACTTTTCAAAAGTACCCAGACTGTGACTTTCAATAAGATCTCTTTAGGGACCAAATGAATTTTGGTTTTTGGTTGGTGTATAAACTGGTTAAATCAACTGCCAAACCGGTCAAAAACGAAAGTTTTTTTGTTGTAAACGAGAAGGAAGACTCATTAAAGAGTCAGGATATATGATGCTAGCTTGGACAAATTGCTTCATACATAATAGAAATGCATAATTGTCAATTATTATTATTTAATGGAACAACTTAATCTTTTTTCAAGTATAAACAAATTTTCGGCATTTGTACAACTAGTATAAATAATTATGACGTCTTGAAAGGCTATTTTATTTTTTTTTCTGTGACGCCTTCCTACAACGGACACAAAAGAAACAAGTTACAATAACCCGAGTAATTCAGTCATTATATTCTGCTGATCTATGATTACTTCATTATTGCCTGAATGATAGACAATGAAAAATCTTCTATCAATCATTCGGAATTAGTTCTGGATTTACCTATTTCGATAAAATTGAAATGATTGCTGATTGGTCACCTCTTCTACAGGGCACCAATTACAATCCAGGATTTGTGAAGAGTTTATATCGTGTTAGGAATTCAGGCCCTCGCAAGTAGGAGAGATCGATTACAGGGAGGGACTGAGTTATTCAGGTTAAAGTTACAAGTGCTAATTGATTGATTAAATCCAATCAGCAACAGGTAACCCTCATCAGGTAAATCAATCACCTGTTGTAACCATCAATGTGCTGGTTAAATTTCACCTGTAATTTTATATACCACACAGATAAGATTTAACAAATTACAATTTTACCCAATTAGCGATTTCTACCGAAAATTATAGCACCACATAGCAGAAATATAGGACCGCCTGAGGACTGATAGGACCATGCTAAAAAATTATAGGACCTCAGGTTCTTGG